AGCAACTTTTTAACTACATAACCACGATTGACTAGATAAAATATAGCGTTTGTCCTTTTCCAACATATTTACGTAATATGTGTTAAATTTTAGGACAATTGGTCGAGCTCTTAAGGCACCAAGAGGTAACAAACAAACAAACTCACTTTCACATTAATAAGAAAAACCGTTACTATTTTTTTATTATTATTAAAGGATGATAATGAAATGGTAACCCACCCCGCCTGCACTAATAATATAATGCTAGCGAGGTACCGGTAGGGAATGATAGGTGAGAATGAAAAGGCAGATCAATGAACCCATCGTGATGAAATACACTTGTAATTCAACAAGATGGTTTCCATGCAGGACCGGCAGGACTGACAGGTTATATTGCTAGCAATAAGACTAGTAGCCCGCATTACTAACAATCCCTTTCCCCACTACTATTATGTTGTAACATCAAAAAAAAAAAACATAAGGACAGTGCATTCAACGAAGCGACAAAAACTTAGTAATGAATTCATAAACCTTGACCGATAGAGCAGTAAACATTCAAACAACATTAAAGTCTCCATTTAAAATGTAAAATTATGAATAATTATTATAACAGCACTAGTGTTCTTTTATTTCAATTTATTTATTTATTTATTTAATTTTTCAGTTACAATTTGAAATGATATGGAGGAAAAGGATTGTTAGTAATGAGGTTTAACAAGCCCATTGCTAACATTACACCCTCCTCCAACAACCTCCAGGTCAACCTCCACTAAATAAAATAATATATATATATATATAAAATAAAATAGGTTGTGTAAATATAAATTTATATTTTATTAGACACCGGAATATAAATCGTTATAATCTTTTATTTATTTATTGAAAATAAAATAAGAATTTGTTTTAAGTTTCATAAATACTTACGTTACTTTACATTACTTACAACTGCGTTATCCAACCCGTCTGCCAAGCGTGGCAACTATTGGCAAAACCTCCCAATTGGGTGAGGCCTATATTCAGTAGCTGATAGTTAACAGCTGGTATGATAATGACAGAAGTTATATTAGATATAAAAAAAAAACAAAATAAATAAATAGAAATTTACAAATTTTACTGAAATAATTGTGCATTTGATCTAATAGAAATTTATCAAATAGATGGATATATAAAATTCTATGAACTACACCGGGCCCGTGTTTCCTCCATTACAATGGAATAATGTGTCATTTGATATCTGTATCATATTCGAAGTTTAGAAAACATTGTACTTCCAATGAATACGAGTATACGTTACTTGATCTATTGTGGGATGAGCAATACCATTCTACAGTTGCACATTGTAGTGCATTGTAAAATCTTTATTGTACATATTTTACATTGCACATTAAAAAGATTTAATATACAATGGTAAACATATCCCATAAAGAGACCTCTTGTAGTCAACCTTTGAGAAGCTGAAAGGAAACTATAGAATGTATATATATATATATATATATATATATATATATATATATATATATATGTGTGTGTGTGTAGATACATACATATATTCATAATTGGTTTGATGAAATAAGAGTTTCAAAATAGAATTATACGATATTTGCTTTAAAGATCTTCATATATATATGTATTACTTTATTATAGATTTGCTTGTGCGAAAATATTTAGTTTTTGTTTCCATGTAAATGCGTTTATACAATATATGCAGATCGTATGACTGCCTATTTTTATTTATAAAATAACACATTAATATGGAAAAGTTTTGCTGGAAGAAATCTCTTATTAGAGATAAGCTCGCCTTTGTACATTATGTTTATTATAAACATAATGTACAAAGGCGAGCGAATTGTAATTACCAGTATGTTTTGTGTACAATAAAGAATAAAGAAAGAAATAAAAAAAAAAGTTTGACCAACCATTTAATCTGTATATTAAAAGAATATTTATGTTTATTAATATTATAATATTATTAATTATTTTTAGTGTAAGCAAAAACTATAGACAACCCTTTGCCTCTGTCTTAGTATACCTTCCCAGAATCTTTATTTTATATCTCTTTTCAAGGTCACCGGTTCCATGAATAAAAACATCTAATTTGGCTTTTCTTTTTATTTGAATAAATATATCTTAATCATCAATCAACAGGAAAATTCAAAAAAGAAAATACCAAAGGCATTGAAGAAATAAACAACATGTTTATTAAATAATTTATTCCTGTAAATATTTATTGATTAAATTTTATAATAAATATTTATGTAGATAACAAACAGCCTCCATATTTTTCATATGATATTTCTATCGACTGACTTCAGAAATATGTATGTATTTAGAGTTTTCTCGATCAAATTACAAGTAAGTTGAACGTTAAAAAAATAAGTTAATTTATAATACGTAATACTAGAAAATATTGTTAAGAGAAATGATGCAATTGTAGTAGCGAATCGAGAAGTTGCAATGGATTATAAACTGTTTTGCACCACTGCATTCCAATTTGGTTGAGATGTTTATTTTTTATTCCACGTTATTATGGTGTAATATTATAACTTACTACGATTGTATACTAAGCATTATTATTTTACTGCAGAGGTGTACAACATTTTTAAATAACCCGTAGGTCATCCAAATGGTTTTGTCGTTCTATAATCAAATATTTTGGTCTACAAAAATTACGTCTAACTTGACATGAACAGTAATCTCTCTTTCTCTCTCTTCGTCCATTTCATTACTGAAGGTCGTGCCCTTGAAAGGTGTCTTTTGCCTCTCATAAATAGTATATATATAATAAATATATATATAGTCAAACTAAGGATCTTCTATCTGTATCGATTAAAATAGACTGCGAGTTTACTAAACTTAATATTTTTTATGTAACATAGATCGGTAAATAAGTGGGACATTAATACATCGTTATCGTTATCATCTTTATCATACGAACGCTTAACTGTCCACTGCTGAACATAGGCTATCCCTTTGGAGGGATTTTCTCATTAGCTGCCATGTTTGGCAAGCGGGTTGACAACCGCTGTTAGTCTTTGGTGATATTTTAAGAGGGACGTTGTTGACCATCCCTTTACCATTAAGTTCCCTTAGTTAGCTGTCACAAAACCCACGGGAAAAGATGGGGTTGCTCATTCTATGCCGGGACCACATAGCAATGTATTGTATATATATATATAATAAATTGCTATAGTCGTAATGATATATGTATATTATAAGTAAAAAGCTTGCACAATATGTTTTTTTCTGGAAATTTTTTAAATAACGTGACATTGCTTAAGAGAGGGCTTTTGGGAATTCCCACAGGACGGAAAAAAACGAGTTCCACGTTTGCAAAGCGGCAAGGTTAAGAGGGAGGCTACGAAACTTTTGACATCAAAGGTTGACGCCCTTGTATCTCACTTCAGTGGTGATTGTTCACACACAAAATTTTATATTTATAAAAATAATATTTAAAAAAATGTACTAATAGGATTATAATTAGTACTAAATAATTATTACATGTTTTTAGAATACCCAAATATATAAGTTACCTATTTAAATATTTACAAATATATGTAGTGATGTTAAATATATTGTATGTGGTAATCATATATAATAAAAGAATAATTTCACTAATGATATATATATATATATATATATATATATATATATATATATATATATATATATATATATATATATATATATATATATATATATATATATATATATATAATCATTAGTAATATAAGTACCTTAACGGCTCAACCGATAACTATGGAATTTGGTATCCACGTGCTAAATGATATAAAGAAGAATATAAATTGTTTTTTTAATCCGGTTAGTAAACATATCCCGGTCATGTGGACAAAGTCGCAGATAAAAACTAATAAATAAATTAATATATAAAAATTATATAAGTTATACAACTATGTTTTAATTTCTACATTACTAAATACAAGTTGAATTAACAAAATGACTATCGACCTCTGTTTGTTTCTCAGTTTATTCCTTTTAAACTACGTAATGGACTTTGACAAGGATTTCATTGTAATTTGGATATTTTTTACGAAAAAATGTATATACAATTGCACATTAAGAAAAGTCGGGGCATTTAGTTAATTATGTATAATATAATGCAGAAATCAAACAAGTACATAACAAATAAAGTAATTTCAAACTATTAATAGAACCGGCGTACATTAAAGAAGGTCGAATCACAATTACCTGCAAATATGAATTTGATAATAAATTAAAATTATCATTATTAACCGACATCAACAAAGAAGATTGATGTTTTTGAAACAAATGGGCTTATTCCCGAATTGTTTTCATACACTACCCATTGATATATCCTGCATCATGACCTCATATACTGTGACGCTTATAATACCCTTCATAAATTACATTTTCGAAGGATTACAATGTAATACTTCCTAATCGTATAATTTTATGAAATATATGTTTTTAAAGGTACAAAATATCCATACAGCCCGTTTGATGGTAAACAGTCACTGTAGTTGTCACGTGTATGTTACTTACCCTATAAAAGTACAAAGTTTTTTTAATTTACAATAAAAAAAAATAAGGAATGTATGTAAGCGCATTACTTCAGAGCGGTTACACCTGGTTTTATTTATTTATTTATTTATGTATGGTTGCCTTCCCTGTCCTCAAACGCTTTCTTTTTTTATCTAATGATTAGTAAAAAACACCACACGGCATTAAATTTGCTATTTGCACAAATTTCATTGGATAATAAAAAAAAATATGCAACTTAGAATGGCAAACAAGCTGACGAACAACCTGATGGAAAGCGGTAACCGTCGCCTATTGACGTGAGCATTACCATGGACATAACAGGGTATACTGTTTCGCCCATGATACCTCCCATGCGTTAGCGTTCCAGAGAATTTTGGAACAAATAATAAATATACGAATGAAAGAGTGTGGGTTACATTGTAAAGGGGAGACTTGGTCTTATTTTTTAAGTTAAAGGGAGCGGCTAGTTCTCTTGATAATACTGTTATTATTCTTTTCAGACAGTGAAATCAACATGCGACTGCATAAAAACTCAACTGAGCACATTAGCCATTTCGCTGACGCTATTCAACTCGGTGCGTCTCCCGAGAGAGGCGTTCAGATATGGAGCTGTTCCGTACCTGGTGGTCTACTCGTTTTGGCTGCTCGCAGTCAGTATGCCAACAACGCTGCTGCAATTGGCTATGGGACAGCTAAGTCAACAAGATCCTGTCGGCGTATGGAGAGCTGTTCCGATATTAAGAGGTACGAGTTTTATCATAGATTGCTTTATGGAGGTAGAATATAAAAGGAAAATATAATATTTATTTATTTAAACTTCAATGCACAATTATATAAGTGAATGTACATACGGCGAACTTAACACCTAATAGCGTTCTCTACCAGTCAACCATGACGCAAGCGGAAAATTAAGTAGGCGGTGCATTTATTACTAAAATATATATTATAGCAACAATATTTATATATATTTTTTATGACACAGGTGGCAAACAAGCATACGGCCTATCTGATGGTAAGAGTTACAGTAGCCTTTGAACGCCTGCAATACCAGGGTTATTAGGTGCGCGTTGCCAACCCTGAAGAAATAATCTCTTTACCCCCCTTTTGAAGAACCTTATGCTGTAATCTATTGTTAAAATACTTAATAAATATTCACAAAATTCGCAGTATTGTAGCATACATAACATGTATGTATATACAGAGAAAATATTAAACACTGTTCAAATATTATTTTATTATTTATCGATTTTAAAAAAATATAGATGTTCTCAATCCGTTTTTCTTTTTTTCTCTTTTATTAACCTTATTTTTAGAAATTTTTTTAACTTCTAATGTTCCAGTAACAATCTAATAAGGATCTTAATGCATTTACTATAAAACACTTTTTTCAAATAATCCTTTTAAATGATTAAATAATTCTTTAGAAATATTAAACATAATTTTTTTATTTAATTTGACATGTAACGCATATACTGCCATGCTACCACAGTTCGGAGTGCGTTTTATGTTTTCCAATGAATTAAGCTTAATTTTTTTTTATCCAGGTATTGGTCATTTGAGGCTACTAACATCATACGTATGTTGTGTATTCAACATGATGTATGTAGCCCTGTCATTGGCCTTTTTACTATGGATAGGAAAAGGCACATTCCCACTGAAAGACTGTACGAAACTGCACATAACTCCGGTAAGTTTGAATTTTTTTTTTACAAATATTTATTTCCTGATACCAGCAGCGTATATCAAATAGCGTAGATCGGGTTACCATTTAATTTTAAAATCCATTGTAGTAATTAAACAAGTATAATAATGATATAGAAATTGCTAGACAATTTATTTAAGTAAAAAATCTAAAAAAAATTTTTGTTACTTTAGTAGCATCTCTGCAAGATTGACGATAAATAAGGTCATCACAGAATACACTGTGACTCTCATATATACCTTATAGATATCTCTCATCCATTACTTTTCTTATATATATATATATATATATATATATATATATATATATATATATATATATATATATATATATATATATATATATATATATATATATATATATATATATTATGCTACGATAATAACAAGCAAGCATACCACCCGTCTGAAGGCAAATGCGGTTACACTAGCCTACGGATGCATGTAATACTGGGAATGTCACTGCGCGATGTGGACCTTTAAGAAACCTTAATATAGCATTTTTTAAGAACCCCATATAGTAATCTCGGAAGATCATTCCTGACCTGAGTGATAGCTCTGAAATCATTCTGCTACTAAGGTGTGGTGTAAGGTAAACGGTACCATGGTACTATATGTATATATATGCATTACTGAGATGACTGGGAGTCGGTGAATGCAGGTGGCTCACGACCGTTCTAGTTTTTGACCGTTCTTATGGCAATCTATGGGAGAGGCTTATGTCCAGCAGTGGACGGATCCATGCCCGCATTTCATTAAGTTCCACACCCTTTTCACGGAAACATACAATTTGAAATAAAATTGAAAAATTAAATCCTACCTAATATTACCCTTGCATATTTGTTTTGTATACAAAATTAAAACGATTTTGTTTGATTTTTTCAGCACGGGTATGAAAACAAAATGAGTGCAGCTGAATGTTTTAAGTTAGTATGTAACATTTCTTTATTTGAGTTTTTGTTTTTATTTAACTGATCTCCGTATTTAAGTTGACCAGAGGAAGACTTTGTACAAAACTCGTTTGCTTGGACACTTCTATCTTATTCGTGTTTCTACTGTGAAGCAGTTGTGTTTGCATGGCTGTGTTTTGGTTTAAAGGATGGAATATGGCAGTTAATTTACAGGGTACAGAGGAATAACATCTGAGTCCTCAGGAATGGCAACGTATGGAAAGTATCATGGGCGAAACAGTATACTCTATTATGTCCATGGTACTGCTGAAACACAACTGCTTCACGATTGAAACACGAATGGGACAGAGGTACCCAAGCAATCGACTTTTGTACAAAGTCTCCCACTGGTATCTGCGAGATGACGCTGTATAATTTTATTTTTTTTATTATTGTTAGGTAGGCAAACGACCTGATTGAAAGTGGATACCGTTGCCCATTAATACTTGCCTAATGTTACATATGTCTAATGATAAATAAATACTTAATAATAATTCTTTTTAAATAATTGTCGTTTTGTTTCAGCTCAACATTCTTATCATCATTCACAGATAACCCTCAGTACTTTGGTCTAATGGCGGTTTTGATATTTATTTTATGGTTTTTCGTGCCAATACTGTGAGTAATATTGTTAGTACTATTTAAAACCAATCGTTTTTGCATACGTGAATTAAGTCTCAAGATTTAATAAAAAAAAATTTTACATGTGGACTCGGCATAGAATAGTCCAACTCCTCTTTCCCCGTGAGTGTCGTTAGAGGCGACTAAGGGAACTTAACCCTCTGACCGTGTATTTTTTGTCACAACATCGCTGTGAGAACAAGTAGCAGTATTTATATATATATATATATATATATATATATATGTATATATATATATTCTTTTTTTCTTTCTTTTAGTACGAGTATGCGACCATTTAGCGAGATTTTGAGAAACAATATTAATCTACCAAAATAAAAAACGCGGGATAACAACGTCTATAAACATAATAAATGTGAGCATGTCGAATTCGCTGGATGCATAAATTAAAACTACATAGTAGATAGTGTATGCCGAAATCGCGGGATCTCCGGTCAGAGAGTTAAAGGTCGAGGGATGGGTAACAGCGTCTCTCTTAAAACATCACCAAAATCTACCTGTGGCTGTCAACTCGCCTGCCAAGCGTGGCAACTATTGGCATAATTCCTCTCATGGGCAAGGCAGGCTCAGCAGCGGTTGAAGCTGATAGCTGATGATTTAATTAAAAAATCTCTATTATTGTATTTAAAAACAAAATTCCCCCTTTGATGTGTTCTATCTATAGATTTTCATACTACAAACATATTAAATTCAACAAATTTAATATTTTCCCAAATGCATTGCAGGGAGTCAGTGGATGCAGGTGGCTCAGGACCGTTCTTTATGGCAGTCTATGGGGGAGGCTTATGTCCAGCAGTGGACTGACAATGGCTGAAATGATGATGATGATGATGAATATTTGTCCTACTTCTGGTACAAAAAGTTATTTTGATTTTAAAACCTAAATTATTAAACTGATTTCGATATTTTTTTATTGGACGAATTCTGTCAGATAGAAAAGAATTTTCCAAAATAGTTTATATATTTATTTATTTACATATATATATATATATAAAAAATTGAGGTAACAAACGTTACAAAAAATCATTCGAGTTGAGACTTCAAACAGAAGTAGGTTGTAAATAACAAATAAAATTAATCCGAGAGATGGCTATAGGCTCACTTCGCGCCATGTTAGACTCTAAAATGTTCTACGAAATGTTATAAGTTTAACATTGAATATTATAATTGCCACAATTGTGATAAATTACAAATGCCTATTTCTACCTCATCAGATATTATAGTCGTGAGCATGTTTTTTTAATAGTATAATATTTACCTATAATATGAACTGTTACCTACGGAAACAACGGAACGTGTCATATCGTTTTCGTGTTTAATTAAATTCGTTTACCTAAAAATAAACAGCTCTTAATTCGCTTTATTAACATTAATTGACCCAATTTAGATAATCAATGTAATTAATGTGAAAGTTGAAGCAATTTAGAGTTTTAATTAGGTACATTATGTTTTGGAAAAAATATATGAAAATATATAATTATATTATGGAACTATTTATAATAAAAAATTCGTTTGCACAGTATAAATGCCGTATGGGCCCGGCATAGAATAGGCTACCCCTTCTTTTCTTTAACAGTCGAAGGATGGGCAGCAGCGTCCCTCTTAAAACATCTCCAAGGTCTTACTGCGATTGCCAACCCACTTGCCAAGCGTGGCAACTATTAGCAAAACATTTTAATAGAGACATGCCTATGTTCAGTAATGGACAATTAACGGTTGATATATAATAAGTACATAATTTATTTGTATCGCTTAATTACACAAATAACAATAAACACAGATAGACATGCACAAAAGAGTGAGAGAAAAAATAAAAATACAAGAAAAAATGGAAATACATTAAAAAGTGACAAATTATTTTCTTCATTTCGTATGTGCTGAGTAACGCAAAAAGTTTCAAGAAGTTTAAAAAAGTGGAGGAAAGAATATTCCCAGAAAATTCACTGATTTTTATAGGAAAAAATAAATAAACACTTTAACATTTTACTTTTCAAAAAAAAAAAAAACACCAATTTCGATCGTGACTTAATCTGTATTATGGTACTAATGTGAAAATAAAACAAACGTAATGTTTTCGCCAGAACAATGCATGCTTGTTCTTATGTATTACTTTATGCATTAACATATAAGTATAAATATCATATTATCTTTGCTATATATAATAGCAAATCTTTACTGATACTTACTATAAATATTAACATAAGTGTGTTTGTTACTTTTTAGCGACTTAACGGTTTAAAAAATTGTTATGAAATTTGATATACAGATATTACGTGAGATATAGTAGACCATAGGTTACTTTTGATTACAGTATAGAAAGAACGTATCCTGGTTGCGAAGTTATGTGAAAAAATTAATCCACTAACAAATTTAATATATATAAAGGAAATAGAATATAAATATATTTTATTACATCTACAAATATATATGAAATACATGTCCTGTGATGACATATCAGCATAGTACCTCTCCATTTTTGTGCAAACCGATTATGTACTTTTAGAATAATAAGAAACCTGTTATTAGTTTTAATGTTTTAAATACTATTCTGTAATTATTAACTGTAACGCCGTTGACTTTTAATAAATAAATTTAATATCATCTTGGGGGGTTTTGCCAGTAGTTGTCACGCTTGGCAGGCGGATTGGCAACCGCAGTCAGGCTTTACAGATGTTTTAAGAGCTAAGCTGCTGCAGATCCCTCGGCCTCCCTTAGTCGATTCTTACGACATCCAAGGGATTGGAAGGGGTGATCTATTCTATGCCGGGATGATGCAGCCAATTTACCGGCAAATTTAATATATTAAATATTAATTTAATTGTTGTAAAAAATTCGCAATTTGTTAAATCGTTCGTCATTAATTTTCTTCTTTATTTTTCAGTTTATACCGTCTACACAAAACGCTGAGAATATCACTGGCAGTCATTGCTCCCATTGTGATCATCATGACAGTTGTTATGTGTACATTTCTATCTAACACCGAGTCGTTAAGAACAATGTTCGAGTCCTGCGAGGAATGGATGCCGATATCTCAACCATATATCTGGCACAGTGCATTGATACAAGCTTTACTGTCCACTCAAATTGTAGGTGGTTATTTAATTAGTGGAGGGGGAACTGTGTATAATTATTCGGATGTGAGATGGTAAATATAGCTCATTTTTTTAATTTCATTAATTCTCTACAATTCTCATATGGACATCGTTAATTGCCCATTATTGATCGTATCCATAGTTTCTATAGATTATACTGGTCGATTTTAAACCACCTGTTTTTTTTTTTTTCTTAAATTAATGATTAAAGATTGGTAACCTGTACTGTGTAAATATGCTAGCGGCGACCAGTGAGGGCTGATGATAGGTGAGGATGCCAGCAGATCAGTTGTTCGTCGACAGAGGTACGCTGCTGTCCATCCCTCGTCCTCCCTTAGTCGACTCTTACGACACCCACGGGAAAAGAAGGGGTGGCCAATTCTATGCCAGGACTACAGGGCTAATTTTCATTTTCAAAAAAACACGTTCATGAACTATTGATGTCTTGATCTTACTAGAATACAGAGAAAATCTTAAGAAGCACATTGTGATTTATGGGACAGATATAGAAGTTTACGACCTTCATATATAGATACACCCAAATATTTACGTATTAACTTACGCACACGCACACACGCATACATACGCACACACATACACACGCACGCACGTACGCACTTACGCACACACAGACACACACACACCCATACAAACACCTATGCATATCCAAACTCACATTCAATGTCACATTTAATTTAACCCTGTTCGCCGCACTATAACTGTTAAATTTCTAGCTTTGACTTCCACGAGACACACGAGGCTTTGCCTAGTGTGGGGTCATAGTTATATTGTACTACAGGCTAATTTTGTTTAAGGAAATAAAATTTATTATTATTAATAATAAAGAGTAATACTATTGTTTAATTACATATGTGTGTGCATGTATATATAGTGTGCATACTATTAAATCTAGCTCTATCTACGTCTAGTTGCCTGGTTGATTGGAAACTTTGCAGACCAATTTATTTTGGACGACAATAGGTTCATTATTCAAGCGTTAAACTACGGTGAAACTTCGAGAGTTGCCCGCATCGTGTACCTTATTAGCTTTTACCGATATAAATTTATTAGGATGTAATAAATGGATGCTCGCCTACTTCGATGGAGCTATGCATGAATGAATGGCTGATTGAAATTCCGGCTAAATAAACCCTGTGTGATAACACCAGTGGCATTGACCTTTAGAGTTTACGCTTTATACTCGTAGGTACAGGAAAAGCTAACCCCTCTTCACCTTCCATGCGAACAAGCAATAACTCGGATATTGTTTGGATCGAAGCTGACGTGATACAAGCAAATATGTTGTTCATAACTTATATAAAATAATAAAAATCTATCTTATTAAATCACATCATATACATCCTTACTAATATTATAAATGAGAAAAAGAGTTTGTTTGTAATGTAATGTAAATAGGATTCTATTTTCCAAACTTAGCATCTCATTTGGGCTGTTGTGCGTATGAGTCGTGGCTAGTACAGCCAACCTAGCTCCGCCCAGAAGCACAGAAGCTTCCTGGGATCTTCGCAGGCCTAAGAAGTGTTTGTTTATTACCTTATAGCGTTTTAACTACTTAATTAATCACTATGAATGTATTGGTGTACACGTACTATATGGGATGAAGAAGGTCTTTTTATCCCGGTTCGTTAACATGTCCCGGTCACGCGAACGAAGACGCGGGTAAAAGATAGCGTTTAAAAATTTATTTTTACTATTGAATTAATACTACTGGGCATATGCAAAGCGCCATCTAGTTACAGGTTAAAAAAACTTATAGTATAGATGTTAAATAATAATAATAACTTATTAACATATAGACTTAGACATCTATAAATGTAAACAGACATATTAATGTATACAAATTTTATATTATGCATAGATTAAGCATAGTATGCATTTTTTATGCAAAGACCAAATTTGCAACTACGAAAAGTGAAGGTAGTGTGATAATTACATTACTAAGGTTATCATGTAGACTATCATCATTGAAATATAGCCACGCAAGTATAGCTTAGCGGCAGAAACATAAGTGGGTAAGAGGTATCCGTGTAAACGACATTTGTCGAGTGCCCTCATTTCCACTGGCATAGTATAACGTATTCTTAGATTACCAGCACTGCCAGATTGGATATTGCATTTGCAAATCTGTGTAAAAAAATTTATCATTAAAAATGTTAGAGAAATTTTTGGAGAAAAAATTTCGATTTTTGGGTAAAAATTAATAATCGCATCTGGTAACCTTGTTCATATGTAATACCCTCCTATATTTGGCAATCGAAATAATAAGTCTTAAATTTTAAATAATTGTAAAATTTCTGTTTATAGGGTGTCAACATCAGTTATAATTACAAATCTGATATCTGGCTGGCTGTGGGTTTTGGTGTGGGAGTCAATTGGTGGTGATAGCAAGAAGGATACAAGTTTTATAGCAATTCTAGTCTTAATATACCAATCTAATGTAGCAGGAAGAAGGTCGAAAGTATGGCCAATGATTGCCTTTGGGATTGTTACTGTGTCTGGCATAATAACACTGGTTAGTGATAGCTTATTTACTATACTAAGTAAAAATAAATTTCTTGCCATCAATATAAGTACTAGTATAGTACTCAGTCACTTATGTTATCAGCTATTTGGCTTTAATGATGTTTAAAATATTTAAAATTTATATACAAGATCAAATTTATACAACTATCATAAGGTAGTGTAACTACTAGTGTAACTAAACATTATTTCTTCTTTAAAGAAACATGTATTTCACTAAAAACTATAAAAAAAAAAACTAAAAAATATTTGAGTCTTCACACTAATACGGAAATTCTTATCTTAATAAAAATTGCTGTAGAAATTTCCTCCTGCATTTAAATATCCAAATTAAATTTTTTTTTAAACTAACCTATCCAGTGATGTGACGTTGCAAGTAAGTATCTCTATAGAATTTATTTTTCTGTTTAATTTATTCTACCCTCCAAAAATAAACATAATATTGTCTGGTATACATATTGGGAATCTAAAATTGGCTAATTTATGGTGTAAATATAAAAAAAAGAAATATTCTAGATATTGTAGTTGATTCCAGATGTAATATTAAAATAAAAAAAAAAATAGCCTCAAGATTTTTTGTCACATATCATATTACTTATGTACCTTTAATTTTACTAATACAATATACACTTAAAAGGATTCTAATGATCTTTGTCTCATCATAACTCAAAATTACTTTATTTTTTTTTTCAGCTGACTCTCCTGTTCCCAGTATATGATAAACTACACCGTATCGCTGGTGGTAACTGGAGACTTTTCGCGGCAGCATCATCGGCTGTTGGCACCATACTGACCGTTGCCGTTCTATCTAAAGGTCTCGAAGTGGCCACTATTTTGGATGACTTGGTGTTACCAATATTAGCAGTCTTCACTACTGCAGTTGAAGTTGTCGGTTTCGTCTTCATCTATGGTAAGACTTGCATAACCATAACCATTCATGTTTCAACCGTGAAGCAGTTGTGTTTGCATGGCTGTGTTTCGATTTGAAAGGTGGGATATGGCGTGAATTTACTGGGTACAGAGGAATAACACCTGAATCCTCAGGAATGACAACGCATGGGGGGGTATCATGGGTGAAACAGTATACGCTGTTATGTCCATGGTACTGCTCGTGTCTATAGGCGACGGTTACCACTTTCCAATCAGGTAGACCGTCAGCTTATTTGCCATTCTAAGTTGTATAAAAAAAACCTGATAACCGTTTATTATAAGGCTATCCATATATTTGTTTTCTGCTATATATTTCATGTCATCTAAAATAGTTCTTGTATTTACTTTACAGGATGGTTCTATCTAGCAGTGGATATAGAATTTCTAACGGGGAATAAATTACCTTGCATTTGGATTGGAACATGGTGGACAAGTCCAATTCTTCTACTGGGTACGACAGGATGGTGGCTCCGTGGTATACTTAGAACTACATGGAGTTATACACAAACACTATGGCCTTTGCTCGGAGTATTCGTGGGGATATTAGTTATCATGATTGTAATGGCAGCCATAGCTGTTGCTAAGGAGGAACAATTTAATTTTGTAACGGTAAGGTTTATTATTGTTGTTGGTATTGTTATTAATTAACTCATTATTATTATTACATCGTGAATGGTGTAATAATAATTTACTAATAATAACGTAACGTAATAAGCACGAAGAATAGAAAAGAAAAAAAATATATAGCAGAAAAATACAGGCAATCACATGAACAAAGTTTGCGTAGAAGAGAAATGACAAAAGGTGTTTTCTAGGTGGCCTTAGAAATGAACTAGCATAATAGTTGTTTAGTTTATAAAGCAAGAATTTTTTATGTAATAAAATTAATATAGAACCAATTTGAGAGTAAATTGTATCAATTGCATAAAGAATTATCAAAATTGGTTTAGAATTGATGATGACACAACAAATAAAAATAGTATTGGTATTTTCGTTACCTAGATTAGGCATTAGTTTGAATTTTTTTTTACCAGAGGGAGACTTTGTACAAAAGTCGATTGCTTGGGTATCTCTGTCCCATTCGTGTTTCAACCGTGAAGCAGCTGTGTTTGCATGGCTGTGTTTCGGTTTGAAGGGTGGGATATGGCGTGAATTTACGGGGTACAGAGGAATAACACCTGAGTCCTCAGGAATGGCAACGCATGGGGGGTATCATGGACGAAACAGTATACTCTGTTATGTCCATAATACTGCTCATGTCTATAGGCGACGGTTGCCACTTTCCATCAGGTGGGCCGTCAGCTTGTTTGCCATTCTAGTTGTATAAAAAAAAATTTAAATTGAAACGAAAAGTTTTTACCGCAATTGGTTTTAAAATCATAAATTAAATATTAATATCAACAACATGCTATCAATAAATAAATAAATATTAATATCAATAACAATATCAACAACTTATTTTTCAGAAACTAGCATCGGCTTTCAGTCCATCCCGGTTATGGGGCCCCGAGGAGCCAATGGCGAGATACGTATGGATGTCACAGCGTTACTCTCATGAAGTTACAAGCTCCGATAACGATATCAACTCCGAACCAGTTAATTACTCCCAAATAATATTTAGTAAAGACAACGAAAAGATAAACAACGATAACTGGGCAAAAAGCAATAGTATATACCAAAGAAATTTCAATAGTATTTATAACAAAAATATATATTTAAATACAAAAGACGTAGAATACAGTAATCCAACTATATATACTACTTATTCTGTACCAAGAGGCAAGAAGAAGAAGAGAGAAGAAGAGAAATTTCGATCTCCAAATGTTTGTATAGCAAAAAATGAAATAGGTGGTCCGTTAAGTTGTAATTGTAATAGACATTTTACGTTAAATGTACCAGATTTAAAAAAGAACGAAATAACAACTAGTCTATAAAATTAATGTCATTAATAAATGTAAGGACAATAACAAGAGATCGTTTTGGTTGAACTCTGAATAAAGAGTTTCAAATTTCGCTCGGAGTTGCCGTGGCGATGAATAATTTTCAACAATTGGTGACAGTTGCCAGTGATATACTGAGTTTGTGCAGAAACACCAAGTTTTGTTGATTGCGGTGTTAGTTTTAGGAGTTCAAACGTACAACGATGGTCTTGCCTAGTCTAATTTATTGTTATGTTAATCTAGAATTATAAATAAATATCATACAATTAACTAATAAATTAATAAAGTAATAAACTGCTTTTAAATGAGTAAACATGCAAATCTTTTGAATAAGTCCTGCTTTTTAAGTTTGATTGAATAACATATACCAACACCTTTACCATTGTAATATGCCTTTTTCTGCATTATATAGTAAATACCTTATGAGTTAATCTAGAATAGGTTTGTTTATCTCTGTACCCAATTTTGTTCAAATCCGTCCAGCTATTTAAATTATGCGTTCAGAAAACTAAACCACATTTTATTTATTTAACTTTATTGCACCTAAATAGTGTAAATGGCTTAATACCATATTGAGTTTTTTATCAGTTAATTATTAACAAAATTAACAGAAAATATAATTAACGATGTAGCATATTCTTATTCAAAATACCTGAAATATTTAATCAGTGCGTGTTGCTAATGAGGACTTATGGAACCGAACATGGTCCTACACGGTTTTCTGTATCCAAAAGTTTCAAGTTACTCAGCGAGCTATGAAGAGGACTTTGCTCGAAGTTCTTTGCTAACCAACACCAATGGGGAAGAAAGGTTCTTAAAGAACGACCTCATAGGGGTAAACGCAATGTAAGGCGACTTCTTATTAGACGAAGTGAGAACCTCAAACACATTTTAGGGTATTAGTAGGTGCAGGTAGCTTAGTGACTGTTCTTTGTATGGGAGTGGCCTATGTTCAGCAGTGGACAGATAATGGCTGGTATGATAATGATGATGATTTTAGTATTAATGTATAACAAACATCTACACAAACTTTTTTATTTATAATATTACGAGGAGTTGTATGAGGAATAATACATTTGTATTTTGAAAAGTTTGTAAATCCATTAATCCTACTTTTTGTTCTACTCATTCACTTACAAAAGTCTAGAATTACATCTAGTGTCCATTTTCATAAATTTTCATAGACCTATTTACAAAGGTGCTTGGATTCCTTATTTTATGCTCAGGCCTCGAGGAGCACGGAGTTCTAGCTTTATTATTTTCATTAAGGACAAAGCGTAAAATAATGACCAACACGTGCCTTATCCTAATCAAGTAATGTAAACTGTACTTAAGCGTTGACAGAGAAAAACTTGAAACATCTTTGAGAGTCAAAATATACTAGCCATCTTATTTGGTAAACTTAATTAATTTTTCATTTAGTATTCAGTATATTTATATTGCCGTATGGTCCCGGTATAGAATGGCTCATCCTTTCCCTTCCCATGGGTATCATAGGAGGCGGGAAAGGGAACTTAATGGTCGAGAAATGAGCCTCTCTTGAAACATTTCCAAAGCCTAACTGCGGTTACTGACTCGTCTACCAAGCAACTATTGGCAAAATCCCCCATATAGTGGAAGCCTGTATTCAGCAGTGGCAGTTAAAGGGCAGTGAAGGGGTAGCTCATTCGATACCGGGATCACACGGATAGTTTTTTGTTTACATATTACATACAAACAAATACAGAAATATGAATACGAATGTTTTATTACGCGTGAATCGAACCCGTGATCATTGGAAGATGAGAGAGCGTGTGAAATTGCTACACCAACAAGATCTTCAGTTAGATAAATAACCAAAATTAATGGTGCTATCCAAAAATTCTGACCGCTACCACCGACACCTACAAAGTTAGGGTGCCCATCAAAATAACTACACAAGTACACTTGAAAAAAACGAAGGGGAGATCCTCACAAGTAATACTTTTCAGAGTTTTCCACGAGATTTATGTTAAAAACTTGAGCAATTTTTCATATTTTTTTCCCTCGACCCGCGTGCTCGTTCGCCGTGTAAACGATGATCATTTTCTTATTTTTCCTTGGGTCAGAACTAAGTTTTCATCTGTCAGTTGTACTCGCTTGATATCATGATCTTACTGTGTTAGGAAAAATTTATCCTATTTTAAACTTATATCAGATATCACCTTTTACACGTGATTATATTGGGCAAAGTGGCTAGCAAGAGATAACTCGGTCGCAGAAAAAAGGCTTGGCTCTTCAACCATCAGAAAGGACGAGCATTCTGAATACAGCCGAATCATTCTATCACGCAAGAGGCAAGGACAAATACCTAGTCCTAGTAGCTTTAAGTCAATTTTTACTAATTAGAGAGGTATTATAAGGAGTAAGGACGCTTATATCACAGTTTATAAATTTTTTGATCATGATATTTTATTCTGATAAGATGAATTTTAACCAAGCTCGCGGTAGATTACCTTGTATCATAGTAAGAGCTTGTCTTCAGAATTCAGACCAAAAATTATAAAAATGTAAGAAAGGTTTAGTATCTAATTTAGTTTCTAAGTTAGATTAACTAACTAATGACAGGTGATATGTGTGTAGCATGTTGTGTATGTATGGTATTATGCAAGTGCAAAGTGCGTGATATTTAATTTGATATCATTGGCCTAAATTATGTCTTCTCTTCTTCTGAATAGGACTGGTCTCGGTTTACCTGATGCCCCGAGTCTAATTTTTAACATAATTCCTGATTGCGATACAAAACTTTTATTTGGTACGTTTTTATGGGGTTCCGGCTTAGAATGGGTTATCCCTTCCATTCGTGTCGATGTTGTAGAAGTCGATTAAGGGAATTTAATGATCAAGGGATAGGGAGCAGCGTCCGTCTTACAATATTACCCAAAGCGTAACTGCGATTGCCAACCCACCTGCGAAGTGTGGCAACTATTGCCAAAACTTCCCTTATGAAGAAAGCCTATGTCCAGCAGTGGACATTTAACGGTTAATAATTCAGTGGTATTCCAATTAACCTTCTGTTTGTTACAAATTATTAATGCTTCGAATTTGATGATGATTTGGTGCCACTTTGAAATCACAGAGCTTCCCATCTCTGTGATGCCACGCATTAGAAAAGAGTTTACTAGGTTCTCTCTTAGACCTCTGAATCCCCCTAGAAACTCGGTACTCGAGAACAACGGCCGACTTTCCCCCCATCATCTTCAGAGTGGTACTCTTCCCGAATCGTACCCTGCAATTAGAAATAACGTGACATCTATGGATATATGTATATGTTTCTGGATGAAAATGGAACGATGCGTATGTCTATATGAATAGTATTTCTATATATAATATTTAAATTTAACGCAAACAATATTTATATCCTAAATAAAAAATAAAGTAAACAGCAAGTGAAGCTGTAGAATATATAAGGTAATAAAAATTATAAAAGTTAACAATATTCCTTTTTAAAAGGACGGTAGCAACTATGGTGTTGTGGATGATTATGGGCGGCGGTAGTCACTTGAAATCAGGTGAGCCGCATGCTCGTTTGCCCCGTATTATAAAAACAAAGATGCGAATACCCGTAACTGACAGATTTGTATGTAGATAAAACAAATAATGAAGATATGGTATATATAAAGTAAGCAATATAGATAAGTATGTTATGATTTCCAATAATCTGTAATAACGAACGTACACGAGAAGACACGACTCTTGCCTTTTTTAATATGAAAATAACTCGACTGCAGCAATTTGAGTAATACTTTTAAAATTTTAATTTGTCTTGAACAACAGTGATAAATCCTCGAATAATCCCTAAATCAATCGTGAATTCTAAAAGCAGATAAAAACTTCGCTACGAAATAAATTGAATGATAATTTGTTCAATGTCGGGACATAAGGAAAAATAGCGTTTAGAGACCTGAAAACAAGATAGATAACTGGAGATAACGGTCGAGACGATGCCTCCACATCGAGTCTTTCAATTGGAAATTTTATCGATTCTCGATGCGGGACGAATTACGATTTTACTCGGGATTTTAGTAAACAACTAACTGATTTGAACTTTAAAAAGCAAAGTGGATTTAATTTTATAGTTAGTAAACTAGAGGATTTTAAAATATTTAGGTAAAATAGTTTCTTAATATCTGAGTACAAACATTTCCCCCAAAAATTGTACGAAAGAGATGATACATGATCATTTGTATGGAGACTATCTCGACGTTTTGACTAGATTACACAGCTCGTGGTCACGAGTTGATAGGTTTAATTCATCAAATGAATGATTTACAGGAATTTCTAGGTGAGAATATTGCCTCCGTATTGGTTATTGGGTGTTTCAGTTGGAAATTGCATCAATACTCAATGCGGAACGAATTATTATTTTGCTCGGGATTTATTGAAATATAATTGTGACTGTAAAATTTCAAAGAGATTTCATACGATATGTAGTGGCAAACAAGCTGAGGGCTCACCTGAATAAAAGTGGTAACCATTGCCTACAGACATAACCAGTACCATAGATATCACAGAATATCCCATCATGCCCATGATGCCCATTACGTTTTTTTTTTATTTCAAGGAATTAAAATATGCCTATATACCTTCAATCCAAAATAACGAAATGAGATGAGTTTTCGAAAAAAAAATAAAGGAAGTAAATCATTTATTACTCGTATTATACAATGTTTTAAATAATAACACTAACAACTAATTATAAATAGTCTCCCAATGCACAGCATCGAGGCAGCGTACCCAAGATGCTGGCAGCATTACCTCTTTGGATTGCCAAACTTATCTTTTGCGCAAAGTAGCTACTAGCTCTTGGGTCACCAGTAACCTCGATGAGGCGCGTTGCAATCGTGTGATAAAAACGCTTTGTATCTGGATTCCATGGGCCCATGGTGTCTACAGCAAATGGCAGGAAATAATAAGACCCCTCGAGATGTATTTTTCAATCTTTACGAATGTTATAAATGTGAAAGTCAGTTTGTTTATAATTTTTAGATCCTCATGGCTCAACCAATCGTTTCGAAATTTTTATATTAGTGCATATATACTACATATAGATTTATGAAGGGAATAGATATAGGTTACTTTTTATCCCAACATCAGCATATTCAGGTCACGCGTACAAGGTTGCGTGTAACCAAATTGTATGACGATTGGTTAATCCATTAGAGCGTCGAGAGATATCAAACTTACTTACTTATATATTCCAAATCGGTTTATAACTGACGAAGTTATGAATTGATAAACTCCTCTTTTTCGAAGTCGGTTAAAAATCAGGTATTTAGGTATTATTTCCTCGTAATCACGTCGCGTTAAGTCCGATCGTAATTTTAAAATATCTGTGGACTTAGTTCTATAATAAGTAATAATATCAAAAAGCATAAACTTTTTTTTAAATAAACTGGTTCCAAAAAAAAATATTAAATAAAAACCAAAAAGTGAAAATTAACTGACATTAAATTTAATTTTAAGTTTTGAAGAAATATGAATCACCATATATATGAAAGGCTATACAATTTAATGGTTGGCGTCGATTTCCTTAGGATCCCATCATCAGATCCAGACTAGTCGGCAATGGGAGTATAACACTTACGAATAAAAAATAACTACAAATCAATTCACAATTGACGGAGTAATCGATGGACATATTTAAAAAAAATAAACAATCGAACATATACCATCCTTCCTTTTTGAAGTCGGTTAAAAATATCACAAAAGTATCTATCATCCGGTCTACATAATACGCGGTGCAGATATAGCGGTAGGAAACGTAATAACCGGTGTATAAGAAATCTCGAGGGGTGAGGTAAGTTACGACCACATTTGTCCCTGCCATGCGACCTAGCCTATCTGATTGTACGGACATACTGGTGCCACTAAAATGTCGCAGTTGTATGTAGATATTCTCTTAAATTATTTAATTATTTTTCCACTAATGTCAAAAAGGATGACATTCTTAATTCGATTGTAGTTCTCAGTGTAAGATACGTGATATACTTACCTGTTCTGAATTGATTTATATGATTGTTATATACCATGACGGTTTATTTTTGAAATTATACTGTTTTGTTTTTTAGAAATTAATGAAGCAAATTCTAATAAACTTTTTTTAATATTAATTAATTATTAATATTTATAAAACTCGTTATAACATAATTGTAACATGTTGATAATCATCCTTACTAATCACATTATTATTATAAACGCAAAAGTTTGTGAGAGTATAAAGATGAATGCTTGTGTCTTTTTCATGTAAAGTTTACATTCTAACTTAACACATAAGATACTTTATACACTAACGAAAGCAGACAAAGCCACGAAACACTGCTAAAATTATACACGTGAAAAATAATAATAATTTTTTATCTGTTTACGCCTTAAAGGCTCAATCGTT